TCCTTTACTAGTATCCTTGAAGGAAACTGAAACTTTAAGCACAAAGCTTTGTTCTTGCATCTTTTGACGCCATAAATTCTACTGGTCTTGATTTGTTCCCATCCATTTACAGTGTTGTAAAGCTCCTTTATTGCTTTGGTGTGTTTCATTTTGCAGTCGGAGAGTGCACAAGGAGAAGCCGCTGCAAGTGCCATGGGTGGCAGAGGGCGTGGAGGTGGTTTCCCTGGCCGGGGACGTGGAATGAGGAGACGATAGACTCTACCCCGTTTTGTTTTTGTTATCAGAATTGGTATGTCTGATCAGAAAACGAGATATTTTAGTTTAATTTGGTTTTTGTTATTCACTTCCTTTGTGTTGGGATGTGGGATTGAATTTTTAGGTGCTTTCGTTTGCTGTAGAAAATGATACTTGTTCCTTTCATCTTATTTTTCGAAGGAATTTTACATGAAGCAAAATTAAAATCCGTTTCCTTTCTTTGTGGATGTTGAAATTGTACATTTTGAGAGAAAAATAAAATAAACATAATTGAATTTCATTGAAGAAAAGGCATTATTACGAAAGGTGAGGAGATCACTTTGCATTCTGACCCTTCATAATGGGGAACATCAACTCAAAGAGACCACCGGTTCCCATGAGCAACCTTGACATCACTTCTCTTGTACTTTATTACCATCGCAAGTAAGATTGTAAATAAGAAGATATATTGTCTCAACAAGTTGAAGTTGAAGTGAATTATTTGATATTTGACTTGAGAAGTTTAATTAATATTTAAATCAAAGAACTAACATATTAAATTTTTAATTTCTTAAATTAAATTATTAATAATATTAATGTTTATATATTTTTGTAAAAAAATTAATATAAAGTTCATATATTTAAGATTCAGATTCAATTCGAGTTTTAATTGAATTAAGTTTGATAATTTTTTTGAAGTTTAAATATTTTTAGTCCGAACTGAGTTTTAATATTTTATTTTTTAAGTTTGAGCTGAGTTTGTTAATTTTAAGCTCGCAGATTTTTAAATCTAATTCAACAATACTTGAATTCTATTTGATTAGTTTACGGCTCCAATTACAAGGCATTGTGATCCATCCCTTTTAACACCGGTATCGACGTACCAGTCACCGTCGCCAAAGAAATCCAGAGGAGCCATGTTACTAGATGCGTCCTTGTCACTTGAAAGTCGTGATCATTGATTCTACTCCTGCTAGGTTGGTCCATCCCTTTAGTACCTGTTTTGTTATTGTTATTCATAACAAAGTCGATAAAAATTACTGAAAACATCATTATTTCTATTGGTTTTATTATTATTTTAGCAGTTTATCAGGTTTTTTAATAAAATTGATAAAAGCGCTACCGGTTTATTGTTGTTGTGCATAACAAAACTGGTAAAAATCATCGAAAACATCATTATTTCTACCGGTTTTGTTATTATTGACATTTTATCGGGTTTCTTAACAAAACCAGTAAAAGTGCTACAAGTTTTGTTATTTTTTTACTTGTTTTGTTATTGTTGGACATTTTACCGAAAATGTTAAAAAAATTGATGTTTTAGATAAAAATAATAATGTTTTAGGTAATTTTTACCGGTTTTGTTATGTTAACAATAACAAAACCGGTAAAAATAGACTTTTTTAATAACAAAATTAGTAAACACAAAGATTTATTTCTAACATTTTGTCCAATATGATTCTCAAACATAAAGTTTCAAAAACAGTGTAAATACATTTCTTGTAAGTATCGATCATCAAAATATCGAAACCAATTATTATAAAGTAATAGGTCAAATATATCGGTTTAATGAGATAATAGGTAAACATATGTGTCGATACATTTTCTAAAAATATCGACCCAAAAACATCGAAACCGATAATTATAATATAATAGGTAAATTTACAATGTACCAGGTAGAAATATACCGATTTTATGAGAAAATATGTCTACATAATGTATGGACACGTTTTAAGTTTGTGTCGATACTTTTTTCCAGAATGAATGCCCAACAAGGTGCACACATAAAATGTCGATACATTTAAAATTGTATCGATCCCAAAAACATCGAAACTGATAATTATAATGTAATAGGTAAATTTGCAATATTACCTGTATAAATATATATGTTTAGTTATGTCAATATAAGCATTACCTAATATATTATTGTACTTGATAATATTTCCGACTAAATGCTTATTTTATTATATAAGCGATGTCTATTACATTATATAAGCTCTACCTAATATGTTATTGTACTTGATAATATTTTCGGTTAAATGCATATTTTATTATATAAACGCTACATATTACATTATATAAGCGCTACCTAATATGTTATTGTACTTGATAATATTTTCGGTTAAATGATATAACATAATCGGTGTAAATTTTAACCGGTCACGCCGTTTTTTAACCGCCGCATAACAGAATATCGCGATACAGGAATGTAAAAAGCATGCAGCTTCTTGTTTTCGGCCCTTGAAGGCAACAAGATGGATTACAGGTCCAAATAGGGATGGGCATGGGTCGAGTCGGGTTTTTGGTTCATCCGACCCGACCCGAGAACAATGAGTCATCCACCCGAGACCCGACCCAACCAAAACAAGTTTTCACCCGATCCGATATATAACTTAAAACCTCGACCCGACTCGAAATAAAAAATATATTTTTATTCAATAAAAACATTGACTTAATTGAAAAAAATAATATATAAAGGGGTATTATTGTAATTATTCCTAAATATATAAGGTAAAATTATATATTCTCGGGTAACCCAACCCGACCCGAGCATCACATTAAAAAAAACACGATCCGACTCGAACCTGAATTTTTTATAAAAAATCTAACCGATAACCCGTTGGATTTGAGTCCCATACCCATCCCTAGATCCAATGGTTAATACCGTAGTGTGTAATTAGGCCACAGTTTTACCTTGAACTGATTGACATATGTTTACGGTTTGGTCATTTACGTCAATGTAAATAAAATGTGTTCGAAGAGATTGTTTATACGCATCATATTTTTCATCTATAACAGGTTACCCTGCTCCACTCACAAACCAATAGTTTTTCCCCTCGTGACTGGGCACTACAGTTGGTACTGCCTTGATTAAATCTCTTTCACTGGTAAAGAAAACGATATATAAATCAAACCTATTGTAAACTTTATCGAAAGCAAAATAATTTAATATTTGTTCCAAGTTACTTTTATTCTTCAAATATTATTTTATTTGGGCGTTTGTTGAAAAGTTCAATCAACTGGAAATTTAGAATTAATATTTTAACAAAATGAAAACCACCTCGTATCAGTCTTCTATGATCCAAAGCTTAATTTAAGCATATAATAATTTTTAAAATCACTTACGTAATATAATTTTGATTTTAACATTAATATTGTACGTACGCACTTATATGTTATTATTTAAACACATCGATCTCTTTGTTTTATAATGAAATAAATAACGTATATATAAATCTGGCATGTAAAATAATTTTAGAAAATGTATCACAGTCCGATTTGCTTTGATAATATTAATCTAAGAATTGTTGGGACAGTTCTCGAAAGAATCACCCTCCAAAAATAGGCGTATGCCACTTTGAGCGGCAAACACACTGTACCTTTTTAATAAGAAACAGAAGAATAGTTCGCTACGTGCTCTGTGCTCACTGCACGGCTCGTGGATAATTGGTTAGATATGGGCTTTTATTTATACAAGCCGCTTGGGTGAACTTTGCTTGTCTACAAATGATGTGGGATTGTGGTCTTTAAGTTTCGTTATTCTTTTATCCATCCTTTTGCTGTTCACCTTTTCACCCCCAATTTTCTTAGTTATTTCTCACGGTTTATTATATAAATCAACATGATTTGTTTCTTCCTAACTGAAATATTTCATCTTCACTAACAACCAGTTCATCTAGTGGAATGAGACACTAGGTCATTTAAGTAAAGTCAGAGGTTCAAATCCTGACGTTTGCAAATGGAACAAACTAGATTGGGAGGGTCGCCCTTGCCTCTGCAATACCCGACCTGGATTAATCGGTCAATAAATCGGATACTAATAATTAATTAAAAAAAAGAAATATTTCATCTTCAATATAACAGGGCAGGCAGAATTGGATTCAATTTAAAAAAATTAATTTTTTTGACTTAAAATTACTTTGAATCGTAATTTCATAAACTCGACTCGAAATTTTTTAAAAATTCTAGTTGAGTTATAAAATAGAATTTGAATAACTCGAAGTTTTTAGTGATTAATAGATTAGTTTTCAAGTTTGAGTCGAATCTCTCGACTGTATAATATATGTCACATATGAACAAATATAAAGAAATATATATACGTATCATACGGTTATAGAAAATTATTTAAATTGAAATAAAATAATATTACAATATTATAAATATTTATAAATAAATAAATAAAAATCTAAACAACTCAATTCAAATTTTATAAATATGATTAAAAAATAATAAGTAGGTGTTGAGTTTACAATATTATAAATATTGGAATTGAATAAATTAAAAGCTTTATAATAAAAATCATGTTTTTTTACCTTTAGGTATGTTTTCTATTATAAAAGTTTTTTCATCCGAATAGACAATGCAACGCTCTCAAGGTCACGTTACTAAATGCAATCTAACATATCTAAAGAAAAAAATCCAAAATTTATAAATAAAATTTATCAAATATTTGTAAAAAATATGAATTGCAAAACAATTTTTATTTTTAGTCTTTTTAACATACCAGAAAAAGGTTTATCCAACATAAATAAAATAATAAAGAATAAGAACCAACATAGTCTATATTTGTAACGATTCTTGTTTCATATTAAAATGAAATAAATATGTCTGTTGTATATTTCAATTACATAATGTTTAATATAAAAATATGAAAAGTATTAAGATGCATAATTCCAACACCCATTCTACAACCGTCAGTAACACGAGTCATTAGAAAAACCTAATAATAGGTCGAAAGAGAAGGGAAATTTGACTAATAATTGTTGGGGCGGTTCTCGAAAGAACAACCCTCCAAAAATAGGCGTATGCCGCTTTAAGCGGCGAACACACGGTATTCTTTAGTAAAAGGCGAAAGAATAATTCGCTTTGCGTTCACCGCACAGCTCCGTGAGAGTAAGAAGGGGATATGGGCGTTTATTTATATAATCCGCTTGGGTGAAACTGCTTGTCTCCAAATGATGTGGGATTGTGGTCTTTAAGTTTCTTTTGCTCTTTATCCCCTTAGCTGTTAACCCTCGATTTTATTTTCCACGTTTTATTATGTACTTTAAACTCTCAGTATGATTTTATTCTTCCTAATTGAAGTATTTATTTCATCCTCCAATAATTTCATTTCAGTGTGTGAATTTGCTTGGTAAGTGCAATGTCTGTTATGAATAAATATTATATCTTAGGCCGAGTGAGATGTAGGATATGTTGCAAAACAATTTAAGAATATTGTTAATGTTTATCATAATAAAATGAAAAAGATGTATAATGATTTGAAATAAGCTACTTCCTAAATATCGAGTAAGTATAAGAAATCAAGATAATTAACTTGGATTATAGGTGTAAATATCTAATGTTTATATGTTCGTATCATACTCACATGTTCATGTTTATGTTTATGAAACTCGTGAAATATGATAGAGTAAATGTATATCATCGAGCTTTTTTCTGTACAATTATATATTTTGTAGATCACGACGGGACAATTACATAATTGGTGAGTCTCAATGAAATTATCTGATTATAATGATTATTTACATGAACATATAAAGGTTAGAATTCTATCCGAGCCAAGTTTACACATATTTATTTGTAGGGTAAACTACATATTTGATAACTGAACTTTATTCTCTCTCCTATTTTACTCATCGTACTTTCAATTTTTTTCAATTTACTCATTGAACTTAATAGTTTGAATTTTTTGGGTCACTTTGCCTTTAAAAAACTAACGGTGTTATGACATGGTCGTATTTTAATCAAAACATCGTCGTTTTAGTCTAAAATTTAATTCTTTTGAAGAATTAAAAACGACGTCGTTTTGATGTAAGTCTTCATGTCATAACGTCGTTTAATTATTTAACGGTGGAGTGACCAAAAAAATTCAATCTCTAAAGTTCAATGAGTAAAATGAAAAAAATTTAAAAATACGATGAGTAAAATAGAAGAGAGAGTAAAGTTCAGTTACCAAACTTGTAATTTACTATTATTTGTATATCTTATTTTTAAAATAATGGAGCTCTAAATTTTATATAAAATGCTTTTAATTTGAGAATTCATGGCCGATATTGTTTTAAAATATTTAAGTTACCCCGTACAGTTTACAAACTCGAAAAAATTTTAAGTCGGATTTAAGATGTTATATCTATCAATAAAATATATTTTTGAATTTAAATTTTATACAACATTTTTCTTCAGATATATAATTTCTTATTATTACTTATCACGAATCATTATTATTTAGATATATTTTTCATACAATTTATAATTCTTTTGATATTTGTGTAAATAAAATATATTTTTTTTTTGAACAAACATATTTGTTTGTTCGATTGATCAAACTATTTATTTTTGTTTCCTCATATTTCTTTAGGCTGTCAAACAAATATATTATATTTTTGATAAGTCAATTTTTTTAAAGTACACAAATGATCTTCCGATTATACACTGCTATTTTGTTAAGTCCATCGACTATTAAAAGTTACAAAATAACATCCTGACTATATAACATTATTTTTTGTTGAGTCCCCAACTATTAAAAAAATTATAAAATTATCACTCGACTATTCATATGTTTTAAAATCATCATTTTCTATTAAAAAATTGACGATCGATTGAACTGAGTTTAACATATTCAAGACTCAACAAAGTAGCCCTTTATAATCGGAGGACCATTTGTGTACTTTACCCTAATTTTTCACAGACTTCAAGTATACTACAAGGATTGATGTTGTACTTTTACCAAGTTTCCCCTTCGATTAGGTTACATAGATCTCTCTAGCTTTTCATTTCACCATTTCTTAGAACCATCTCTTATGTATTGGCTCCTATTAGTTTACCTTAAATTTAGTAGTATTGAGTTTGTTTCCTTAGAATCTCCCTTTATTTAATCAGGGTGTAAATTATATAATACCGGTGGCGGAAATACAGAAACTAAAGCCGGAGATCTACTGGTTGAGATGGTAAACCATAGAGGGTCGTCTCTTATGAAAAACGTTTCAACAAACAAATCAATCTATAGGAGACAATCTCCCAGGGCCATTGCTCTTTACATATTCTTGCTCTTTGCTTTGTCCATCTTCTTTTTTGTCTTCAATGCTGGCAACATTGAAGAAGAACAATTCAACCCAATCTCTGTACAGGTTTGTGATTCAGTATTTCTTCTGTTTCTGTAAATGGGTAGTCGTATTGGAGGCTTTTCAAAAATGAGTCACTGTCTTTTTGCACTATCTGAAATTTATTTGCACAAATTAGCAGCAATCTTACCATTGTTCTTATTATTAACTGTAGAGTTTATTTTTGGAAAATATTTTTTTTATAAAAGGGAAATTCAAGGATAAATTGCTTCTATATTTCCTTTTTGAGTTGTGCAGATAACTGATGAAGAACTTTGGGATCCTCCTTCTAGCCGTGGCTTACGTCCTTGTGCTCATCGTACGCTCAAATATATAGGTAAAAATCTAGAAATATATTGGTTCTCCTTCATTCCTGCGCTCAATTATCGCATAATTGTAATTTCTATTCTGTTGAAGACTATCCCTTTTCTTTTTGGATCAGTTCTTTTGTAGAGCTTGCTCTTTTATTCAATGTCTAATTGTTTCTTTGTTTATCTGTCTGTAATCGATAATTTTGGTTTTCTCTAATTTCATTTAATGCTATACCAGGTTCTCATGGATCCGACCGGTATTTAACAGTGAACTGTAATGGAGGATTGAATCAAATGCGTACTGGTGTATGTTTTCTTTTATCTTTCTCTTTTTTGCTTTTGCCTGCTCTTTCCGTATATATGTGTCTAACTACATTCAGGGTCTCATTCTATGATTAATGATTTTATAGAATTAGAAAAATGCTTGCGTGGTTAAGATAGTTTTGCCACCTATCATAGAATTTTCTAAGCCTTTATGGAGTTTATGCAGTTAATAATTGTGCTCATCTTCTTACATGTTAGCCTCCTACAATGGACTACAGTTCTACGATACTCAGGCCTATAAAAAAACAACAATTTGATCAATTTCAGTTGAAATCAGTGGAGTTCTGTTTCCCAAGGTTAAGTGGTTTTTATTAATGATATGGAATAGCCTATATTTTAGGTCAGAACTAAGCTATAGATGCTCAGTACTCTAAGAGTAATATGCATATCAGTTTTTACACTTTTAATTTGGTTTTGGGTCTATAACTACCGTTGGCATAAGCTTTTAACAGTTGGCACACCACAAAAAATTGTCTCGATGTATAACCTGCTTAACTGACTTGAACTTGTGTTTCATTGAGTGCATTTATTGAGTGGATTTGTTAGCTCTACAATCCATTTTTTTTTTTGCTTTCAAGTTTCATGGATGTTGCACTGTCAGTTCATTGGCCAAAACTTTGGTAACCATTCTCTTGTAGATATCAGACATGGTGGCTGTAGCACACATAATGAATGCAACCTTAGTTATTCCAAAGCTGGATAAACAATCCTTCTGGCAAGACTCAAGGTATTCTCATTTGTTTCTCTCTCAACTCCACCAAAATCTGTAATTGTTTTGGTCTTATTTAGTTTCCTGTTATTACTTAAGGTCTTCCATCTTGAATGGAACAGTGCATTTTCTGATATATTTGATGAGCTTCATTTCATCGCAACTTTACAACAAGATGTGAAGATTGTTAAGGAACTTCCAAAGGAACTGGAACATGTTCCTCAGGCTCGAAAGCACTTTACTTCGTGGTCTAGCATGGGTTACTACAAAGAAATGACTCAGCTGTGGAACGAGTATCAGGTATTTACTTGTTGGCATTATTTGTTTTTGGTTGTGGCCTGTTTTAAATACCTTCCTAGATGTGATTGTTCTGCAGTGATGACACGACAATCTGTCTGAGTTAATGTTTTTCAGAATATAATGCACTGTTACATTTAATCCAAGGATGCTGACCAAGAAACATTTGCAGGTTATCCATGTTGTTAAATCAGATTCTAGACTCGCGAACAATGATCTTCCTCTTGACATACAGAGGTTGAGATGCCGTGCTGTGTACCATGCTCTTCGCTTCTCTGTCCCCATTGAGAACTTAGGAAAGGTGAATTGCCACTCTTTGGTATTTATACCCTTGTGAATTTACTGCCCCCACACTGAAATGAAAGGCATAAGAAGCTTTTGAAATGCAGTAAAATTTAGGATCTTATAACAAATTCATTGTGCAATGCTAGAATATAATAAGCACAACAAACATTCATGTTTGATTTCATTATTGATTGATTTAAGAGGTCTCTTACGGGACTTCCTCTTTAAATTATTTTCTGAGTATGCATGACGGTGACACCACAGGAGCTGGTGGATCGTCTGAGAACGCAGAGTGGAAAATACATTGCACTTCACTTAAGATATGAGAAAGACATGCTTGCTTTTACTGGTTGTACTTCTGGTTTGACTGGTGCAGAATCTGAAGAGCTGAGAATAATGAGGTGGGAACCTATCCTTTTTCATGCATTTACTTTCAATCTTAACAGGAATCCTTTTCTTTACCAATTTGTCTTATTGAAAACAAGACACTTTATCAAGTAACCTGTAGGAATAATCTAACCTGGTAATAGTCTCGATATACAGACTTCAAAATTTTTTATTAAATTCTTTGAAATTTTGGGAAAAAATTGTGCAGTTTCACCTTATCCTTGATGTGCTTTGAATTATGGGTTGTTAGTTAAATTTACTAAAATTTGGGGAAGAATGTGACTAAATTGACCAATTTGAATATGGAAGAAGTAATTTTTTTGGTTCTCAGGTGTTTGTGTTTTAAGCTTATACTGATTTTTCTAAATATCTTTACAGGGAGAACACAAAACATTGGAGGGTTAAAGATATAAACCCTACTGATCAGAGAAAAGGTGGCTTTTGTCCACTAACCCCCAAAGAAGTGGGAATATTTCTTCGAGCTACTGGTTATCCTCCATCAACACTAATTTATGTTGCATCTGGTGAAATTTATGGTGGTGATGCTCGCCTTTCAGAGCTCAAGTCATATTTCCCAAATCTAGTTTTCAAGGTTTACTATTGTCATTTTTCCTTGTTATAAATAGTTTGATGTGCATAATCTGCCATGAGGATGTGGTGCCTTCATGACTTGGTGCTTTTATTGATGACAGGAGACACTGGCAACAGAGGAAGAGTTGAATGCATTTGCTAACCATGCAACTCAAAGTGCTGCACTAGATTACATTGTTTCTTTGGAAAGCGATGTGTTTGTTCCATCATATTCAGGTAACATGGCACAAGCTATTGAGGGGCACCGCAGATTCTTGGGCCATCGAAAGACAATCTCCCCAGACAGGTTACAAATTGTGAAAATGGCATTTGGTTTCTTCTAGGAATAGGTTTTCTGTAAGGACATGAACCATTAATACATGTAGTATTCGCATAACCATTTTATGCCATAAGTGTGACTTAATGCAATTCATTCATCCAATTTATCTTTGTGACTCATTAATTTACAACGATGTGAGAAGTGAGCGGTTGATTTTTCCAGAGGAATTATCTCTTTGGATGAAGTTTGTGTACTTTGTTTTAGGTTCCAGTAACAATATTTTCTTGGAGAATAGCATAGCATGGCCTTGTCTCATCTTGTCTGGTCTTGTTAGTTAGTTTGTTTGTCTAATTCTCTTAATACAAGGTGATCAACTTTAATGATGTTTTTTCAACTTCTTTTCTAGAAATACTTTGTACTGTTGAGTGACACCCTATAAGAACATTTTTTATGATTTTATTTCCTTGAAAGAACTAGCATTCTTATCAAAGCAATTTATACTCTTATCTCAAGTTTGTTAATATTTTATGCAGGAAAGGACTTGTCAAGCTTTTTGATGAGTTGGAAAGAGGAAAAATAAGAATATCAACGTTCTCTGAACTTGTGTGGCAGATGCACAAAAACAGGTAGCTATTGCAACTATGCCTCTATGATGGACCTAGCACAACTAGGCCGTGGAAACTTGTACAAATTAAGTACCAAGGGATGTGTAATTAAATATCAATGGTATCTGTCTTATTGCAGTGTTCAATGGAATGGTATATTTTTTTTAATGAATTTCGATATTCTTTATATTTACATTGTAGAAAAGGAGCTCCAAGAAAAAGAAAAGGTCCTTCACCAGGAGCCAAAGGGAAAGAACGTTTCAGGACTGAAGAATCCTTCTACGAAAATCCATATCATGAATGTATATGTAGTCCAAAGGGTGTATAAAGATGGTCATGACCCGATTTGGCTTGCCATCTGCAATATGATTTATCAGAGTTGCCTGAGAATCCCCCATTCGAGTGGTTAAGATAAGTTGAACCCCGATGGTAGGTGCCCCTGAAATGAAGTTTGAGCAGTGGCTGCCTGCCTTCTATTTGATTGACCCAAAGTTCTAAATGCATAACTCAGTTACAGTTGCATCACATAGTGCCTGCAGTTAATAGGTAGTTGAATTTTCTTTAATTCCCCCTTTCCTCTTAATAGGTAAAGCTCACACATTTTGCCCCCGAATTTGATTTCAGATAAAATCTTTCCCTCCCTCATTTGTTCTTAGTTTTGAAGACATGATGATGGTTTTCATGTATAATGAGGACACATAGAAGAAGCAATTATGATTTTGATGTAACTTATTAGATAGTTTATACATATACATAAATCCTTTGGTTCTCCCCTGCCATATTCTGGTCTTCACTATAAGTCATTAGATTGTTCATTTAGTGGAATCCAAATTCCTAGAGAGAATCATGTATGTATATTCATGTAAAGGAGCACCAACCAAGCGACTACACTATACCTCAGATTTATAAAAAAAAATATCAAGTAAAGGAATTAAAAACCGTGTAAATTAAAATAAACAAGCTTATATAGTCTACAATATGCCCGTACATGTATCAAATAATTTTTTATACTGAATATATTATTAAAAAATACAAAATATATTATAAACACATAAAATTTTAGTATTCACGAAAAATATTAAAGTATAAAAATTTACCAGCGAAGCTCCCGTCTTTTTCGTGATAATAAAATTCTCAAACCCCATTTTTTTTATAAAATATTAAACAATTACAAAAAAAAAAAAAGAATATATACAAAAAATGTAAAACATTATGAAAATCATCAAAATTTTCACAACTGTTAAAAAAAACTTATTGTGCTTTTCCCATTCACCTTTTCTTTTTGGCCAATACAAAATAAAAAATATTTAGAAAAATCATCAAAATACAACCCAATCAGTGAGATAAAGCTTCAGTAATCGATTAAAGTTCAAACATCCAATCCTTGGCACGGTCGGCCCGCAAAGACTGATCGAACTCCGATTTATTTTTAAAATAGTATTTAAACAATAATTTTATGACAAATTACAGTTTTAAGAGAAAAAAGAATTAACAACTTTCTACTGAAATACACACGTTGGCTTTATTTATTTATTTTTACTATTTTTACCATATTTTGTATTATTTTTTTAACTTTAAAAGAAGTATTAACCAAAATTAGTAGTAGAAACTCAATGGAAGGAGACAAGTCAAATAGAATATATCCAAAGCAAACAAACCAGCTATACGAGTTTCTAATGAACCAACCTCACTCTGAAGAAAATGTGATGAATTGTAATGTCATATGATACAATCAAGCATTCTTTTCTTGCTGATAAACTATATAATGGGAGAAATTACACCCGGGACACGCCATTAACTAAACTCTGATGAATCCACACAAACTTTACTTATAGCATGCATTGCCATCCATCATTTGATTGCGAAAATGTATCATCTTTAAATGTGAATGTCGCATGTACAAACTCATATTATCCATGGCAAACTGGTGCAAGTTTTGAAGTAACTGCTGTTTCAATCTGTAAAGACCTCATTTCAGAGCCATCTCTTACCTTGATTTTTTTTTGTCCATGTTCAAATCATTCTGTACAGTATGCGATGTCTGAGAACAGGTAAGTCACATTCTAGTAGAAATCATAGTAATTTAATCACCACGAGCCAGAAGAACTGAACTGAAGAATAGAAGAGAGCTCTGCTATGGAAAAGTTTGCTTGCTACCCTTCCTATGTTATATACGCCGATACAGTTACAAATTCCTCAAACCAAGATAAGACGGGCCACAAACTGGTATGAATCATCCTTCTCCCTTTGCAAACTTTGAAGTTGATGCATGGCGAACCATCCTTGTATAATGGGCATCTTTTTCGTATGAAAATCTTCACTAGTCTGATTTTAGCAAACATGTAAGAATGGGGCACCAAATGAGATCTGAATTCACAATATTCCATTCAAAACCCTTTGATAATAATCGTACTGCCGTGTCCGCCATGCATCTAAACTGATGCTGATCAGGGAAAGCACCAATGACACACATTGCTGCAAGAAGCCAACAGATAACCACAATCAAGATTAAATGCAGGGCATTATTAAAAATAGATAAAAAGCTTAAAACAACAAACCTCTTCTGTCAGACTTAAGTGGAACCGTTTTCTTAAATTTTGTATTCCTCGAGGACCACCTTTGAAGCATGGGTAACCAGAATCCTAATACAAACAAAAATATGTTGAGTATATATGTTCTTTCTCCAGCCTTACATATTACTAACATGTCTTTCTAGACAGCTCAACCTTTTTCTTTTTCCTAACTATATATATTGTGTGTTAGTCAGCGAGACACAACCAGGCTCAGTTAACTGTGACTCGCAGCCTTGAAGAAATACAGGCTGTCCCTACTCCATTCTCTAATTATCATGTGGTGATTATGTGAAAAAAATATAGTATCACCAGAAATAAACTATAGCATGTTACCTGCAACATTTCAACAACAAGAATTATGCGCCCTGCATGCTTACGGCAGGTTAGGAAACCTTGGATGCATAATACCTGAATTTAAGGGATAAAGATATCAGAATCAATTTAGCATAAGAATAATATTTACTAATTAAGAGCTGGAGTTTCAGTTCGTACGCACCAATTTGGTATAATATCAATGAAATAAGAAAGATTATATAATTTTTTTTTATAGGAATAGTAGGCCTCACTAAAAACCCCCTTCATGATTAACGGAACTTGAAAATAGTTCCTTAATCAGCGGAAGGAGGAAAAGAGTGCCCTAGGAATTCATTAATCTTAAAACATTACAAAGTAATACAAAGACTAATCTCCCTCCAGAGATAAAAAGCCAAAAGGAAACAGCCCTTAACAGAACATAATTCTCAACCAATACCAGCCTTAGCTAGAACATCCGCCTCTATATTGGCTGTTCTACTTACCCATCTAATAAGACCTTCATAAACACTAAGCTTTTGAATAATTTCCTTAACAACTTGAACAAAAACGACAGGACAAGAACCAACATCCTTGACCCAACCAATTGCCACCTTACTATCACTCTCGATAATCAATCTCTCTTTAAATCTGTGGCGAATATATTCATAATAATATAACCCCTTTAGGATAGCTTTCAATTCCATCAAAGTTGGAGGTCTAGGACCAGCAGGGTCTTTGAAGGAGCCAAGAATCGAACCAGAAATATCTTTCAGAACACCACCTAAACCACTCCTCTTCCAATCACTAGAAGTAGCCGCATCCACATTAAGTTTAATAAAACCCTTTGGAGGAGGGGACCAAGGAACCTTAGTTGAAATCTGATTAGTATGAGACGAGCAAGAATCCACTAAGGACGGGTCGGCAATAAGAGCATCCTTGGAAATAGAAATCTGAGTTTCCCTAGCTAGAAACCATGAAGCAATCCTGCACCTTGCTAGAAAGAATATTTCTGCTCGATCAAACTTCCCTCCTTCAAACACTATATAATTCCTAGTTTTCCATATTGTCCATAAGACCACTCCAGGGATAAATGACCACATCAGAGAGTTGGTCTTTAAGTTAGTCCATGCTACTAGGAATTTTTTTGCATCTTCATGAAAAACAGACTGAAAATTCCAATAATCCATGAATTTAGTCCATATTGGCCAAACAACCGAACAGGAAAAAAATAGATGAGATGAAGACTCTTCTTCTAGATTACAAAAAGGACACATAGAATCATTTATGCCCTGAACACCTCTCTTAACCAGAGATGTCTTCACTGCCAGCTTCTTTAAGATAACTTGCCAAAGAAAAGTCTCCACTCTTGGAGGCAGTAGGCCCCTCCAAACAATAGATTTCCAAAAATTAGCTTCCTCCAAATCGGAAATACCCGAATAATATAGATTGGCACATGATTTAACATTGAAAACCCCTTCTCCATTCCCCTTCCACAACAGTCCATCAACAACATCAGTAGAAATAGAAAAATCTGAAATAACAGCCATCAAGTTTGACCATTGTTCAAATTCCCAGTCATTCAACTCCCTTCTCAACTGGACGTTCCAAAACCAGCCCCCAGAACTGTAATCCCCAAACTGAAATAATCTTCCAGTTTTGTTCACTGCAATAGAGAATAGTCTAGGGAACATGACCATCAAAGGATGATCCAATGCCCAATTGTCTTGCCAAAATCGAATATTCCTCCCATTGCCAATTTTATAGCTATAATTGCTTCTGATACTACAGCCCATCGAATCAGCTTTAAAATGATTATTCACCAAAGATCTCCATATCCAAGAAAATTTAGGAGAAACCTTACTGTCAAGCTGCATCAATGAAGAATCCATTTTGTATTTAGTGCAAATCATTTCCCTCCAAATCGCCTTCCTCTCAATAGCAAACCTCCAAGCCCACTTTTCCAATAGAGCCCTATTCATCGTATTTATATTAGGAACTCCCAAGCCTCCTTCAATTTTTGGTTTACAAACGCTGGTCCAGCTTACCCAATGGATTTTCTTCCTCCCACCTCCTCCACCCCATAAAAAATTTGACATAATAGAGTTTAGGGTCTTGTATACTGAAGCTGGAACCTTAAACAATGACAAATAGTATATAGGAAGTGAACATAGGACTGATTTAATCAAAACCAGCCTGCCCGCCAGTGACAAAGAAGAGCCTTTCCAGCCTGCTAACCTCTTATTGAAGCTTTGAACCACTGGGTCCCACAGAATGTTAGAGTTCCTGTGTGGACCAAGAGGGAGTCTCAAATATTCTGAGGGAAAAAAACCCACTGAACATCCAATCGTAGCTGCCCAATCCTTAATTTCCTCTTCCCTTAAATTCACCCCAAACAATTTGCACTTCTTCAAGTTCAACTGAAGTCCAGAAATAATCTCAAACACTCGAAGCACCCTCTTCACATTTAAGATCTGTTTTTTCGACGCACCACAGAAAATTATAAGGTCGTCAGCAAATTGTAGATGTGTTAAATTAAAATTCTTCTCCTCATTTCTAATCATCAAACTCGAAAAGAGACCCCCTGAAACAGCCTTAAGTATCAATAAATTCAAGAGTTCCCCAACTATATTAAACAACAACGGAGACAAAGAACAGCCTTGACGAAGACCCTTAGCCATTGGGATTTCCTCGGTTGGAACCCCATTCACCAAGACTGAAACAGTTGCTGAAGTGATGCACTTCGAAATCCACCCTATCCATCTAGAACCAAAGCCCATTTCCTTCATAATTCTGAACAAAATAGGCCAGTCAAGAGTATCATATGCCTTCTTGAAATCAGCTTTAAAAACACATCCTTTTAAACCATTCTTCTTCCAAAAGTCAATCCCTTCATTGGCTATAAGGGAACAATCCAAGATTTGTCGACAGGGAATAAAAGCGAATTGACATAGACTAATCAAATCTGAAATGCAGCTCCTAAGTCTCATTGACAGACATTTAGAGAGGATCTTGTACAAACCACCAACTAAGCTAATAGGTCTAAAATCGTCCAAACCACCAATGTTTGAAATTTTCGGAATAAGAGTGATGAAAGTGTGATTTATTCCATGTTCTCATTCCTTCCCCAAGTAAAAATTCTTAAAGAAGATCATAATATCTTCCTTAAGGACCTGCCAAAACCTCTTGAAAAAACCCATATTAAAGCCATCAGGACCCGGAGCTTTGTTACTTCCACAAGACTTCACAACATCCCAAACTTCCTCCTCTGAAAATTCCTACTCTAAGAACTGATTCTGCTCCAAAGAAATTCTGGAAAAATTCAGATTTAATTCATCAATTTCTAGAGTAGATCGGTTATTGTAGATCTTAAAAAAATAATCCTTCACAATGTCCTTAATTGCAAATGGGTCTTCAACTGTTTCTCCTCTAAAATTAAGTGCCACCAGTGCATTCCTCTTCTTCCTAACCGTAGCACAGGTATGGAAGTATTTAGTGTTGCGATCCCCGTCTTCAATCCATTTAGATCTCGAATACTGAAACCAAATCTGCTCTTGGATCTTGTGCAGCTTCCACAATTCTGCTCTACAATTATTCAACTCAGTTAATACCTCACTATCGACAACACCCTGCTTTTGTTGAATATCAGCCTCTATCTTCGAAATTTTCTTCTCTAACTCAGAAATCAAGTCTCCTGGATACTTATCTCTGTTTCCAGACCACTTTTTTATTGCATGTTTGGCACTCCTTAAAAGACTAAAAGCACCTGCCTTCTTCTGACTTTTCTTAGAACTCTGAATAGAAGAAATAACCATATCCTCAAAACCCTCCTCATCCATCAAATAGTTGAACATTTTAAACGGTTTTTGACCCCAGTCCACTCCTTTATTCACAAGAATTATGGCATTGTGATATGACAATGATCTTGGTAGAAGAGACTGCAAACTGTCCGGAAATAACTCTAGAAATTGACTGTCAACCAAAAAATGATCTAATCTTACAAACGTGGGATTCTCTTGGTTATTACACCAAGTGAACCTTCCCCTATTCATAGGAAGATCAATTAAGCCCGTATGAAGAATGAAGTCATTAAAGATCTCCATTGAGCTCCTAGTTTGACCTCTGCCCATCTTCTCACCTTCTTGTAAATAGACATTGAAGTCCCCTCCCACACAAACGGGAAAATTCTGTCCACTAAGAAAACTGCTTAATTCTTCAAAAAAACCAGCTTTCTCTTCCTCCACTGCTGGACCGTATACATTGATGAAACCACAACTGAAGTTTTTATTCTGAAATTTACCAAAGGTAGCTATAAATCTCCTACTAATAAACTGACTCTCCAACTCAAAGATATTGTCATCCCAACAACACAACAGGCCCCTCGCTGATCCAACTGAAGGAGATTCCAAAACTCCTTTAAGCTTATTAATCCCACTTCTCCTAAAGAAAGACCTCTTAAATTTTTCAGTCTTTGTTTCTTGCAACCAAAGGAAAGTAGGATTTAAGCTAGTGACTAAATTCTGAACAACCCTCTTTTTTTCATTTTTCTCCAAACCCCTAACATTCCATGAACATATTACTAACTTTGACATCTTCATAAAGGGAAAAAGGTACAATCAAAACCCTCAATCAACCAAACCTTGATTAATCCCAATCAAGCCTTTCTCTAGAGCTATGATTTTTTCCAAAAATGCTTCTTTCCCTTCCTTAAAAGATACTCCCAAAAGCTTACTAACCTCCCAAGTTTCTACGACTTCTTTCAATAAACTCGAGAAAGCTGAGGAGGATGTTGTATCAATGCTCACCTGGTCAAGGGCTTCTCGAAACAGGATCCTTCTAGCTCTCCTCTTCCTTCTAATTAACAAACCAGATTTGGGTCTTAAGCATTCACCTTCAGAAAAGTAACCTTCAATCTCCCGCTCTGCGGTCCCATCCCCAAGACCATTAACAAAGCTAGGAAGAAGACTCCCATCAGCAATGAGCTCTGCTGAAAAACAAATATGTTTTGCAATGCTGGAATCCATATCCAACTTCCTCTGCCCAACCTTGGTGCCATTTATTTCATTCGTAAAGTTCAACAAATCTCCATACCAATATCTTCTTTCCCTCGACCTGCTATTGACCCTTTTGCAACTGCTCAAACTTCTAGTTTCCAGCACCTCACTCTCAGATGAGACCTTTTTTCTAGAACGGTGTAACTATCTCCCCCTTGAGATGTTTCCTAAATTAGTTGTAACCGGTTCAACCAACCTTAAACTTTCTTCTTCAGCCTCTATTTCTGCATTAACCAACTTCTCTGTAATTGGGCTCGTCTCCAATACTCTAAACGTTTTCCTGTTTTTTCCTGCTAAATTAAGGTTCTCCACAAAATCCCCACACTTATTAACTGTATATGCTGGCCCATAAATGAAACCCGAAAAATCTTTTGACCCAGACTGCCCAGAGTCTTCAGAATGGGCCTGAGATCCATCAGCCGAATAATGTTGACTTCTAATCCCCAAACCTACAAACTCACCAACTTTTAAACTCCCAACCTTTTGACTTTCTGGCAAACTACAAGTAATACCTTTCCTATCTAAGGAAAGCCTTGCTAGCTGTCTATTCTCACTAACTCCTCCAGAACCACTGAACACACCCTGATCAATCCAATTGTCCACTGACAGACGATTTTTCCTTGCTGCACATGCCTCACCTTCCCCATGATCTGACAACAACCTGTCTACATCCTCCTCAGACCTAATTTCTTCAGAAAATGCCTTATCGGAATCCTCCACCGGAAAATTACTGAAAAATGAACTTGAATACTTACTTGCTGATCCAATCTTAATACTTACTTTGAATGATCTTCCATAAGATCCAAGAGTGATCACCTCTGGAACATCAAAGGGGCTTTCCACCCTCAATAAAATTCTTGCCATTGTAAGGTCTTCTCTTTTCCTTGTACTCTCATGAATACCTACCACTTTGCCCCATCTACCAGTCATCTTCTCGAAGAAAGATTCATTCCAGCATAACAAAGGAACCCCTATTAATTCTGCCATGCAGAAGGCCGTGGGAACTCCGGCCTCATTCAGTAAAGGTTCCACTCGTTCAAACCACTGTTTTAAAACCTCTTCCTTTTTGCTCCACAAATCCAGCATCTCCTCATGGGAATTAAGAACTAAAACTCAAGAGTTCCAAACATAACCCCATCTAGCAATTTGAACATCATAGCCTTCCTTAAATAAGGCATTCCGAATGAACTCAACTTGAAACGAGTATTTGATAATCCCTGTTAACGACCTCTTCACCCAATTGGCACTTTCTGATGGAATATGCATCTCCATAATGTTTTTCTTGACATTCCTCCTTTGGATATCCTCAGACAATAGTTCTTTGTACCCCCTTGTAATCTCATTTGACATCAGAGCATCCCTATAAGTTCTATCGTCCCTTCTACTTCTGCTAATATTTTCTCTTTCTCTTGATTTCGAAGAATCTGCATTAATCTGACCAGAAGCCTCGTTTGAAGAAGTATGCACCACCCTTGACCTTGAACGTTCATCCTTAAATCTGGCAGGACTAACTAAGATCTTCCTTCCATCAATCACAACCCCGTTTAACTCATCAACATCCCTCCTTAAATCTTCCTCCCTCTTAAATTGAACAAAATCAAAGGTGGAAAATCTGTACTTAGGATTTCTAATTTGATTGGGAATAAAAACTCTTATAACCGGACCATGGACTAAGAATAATTCCCTAAGCGTATGACGAGAAACCCTCCTACTCAGGTTGTCAATAAACGCCGACCAACACTCATCGGGAACTGATTTTTTTTTTAAATTCTCTCTCTCTACGTTTTTCTCTTTCTCACTCATTTTTTTCCTCTTTGCCAATATTAGTTCAGTTGTGTTTTTATTATATAATTACATACAACTTCACATATTGGTCTTTTAGTAAGTATCGGTTATGTCTTTATCATTCACTTCATGTTTTCATAACATTTATTCTCAGTAAGCAAGCATCTTCTAACAACTCTAATTTGCTATATGTTGGTGTGCATGACGCCCATCACAAACTTACGTAAAAGAGTGAACAGACCACACAGGTCTTAAACACAGAAAGAAAGGGCATTAATACCTTAAAGTAGTCAAAAAATTCACTTGGAACTCCCTCAGCATCGGAATCCATGACCTAGCACACCCAACAATTGAGCATTAAGAGCAAATCTGAACTAACTGATAGAATAGTGTCAGACCGACAAATATTGAGCTATAAGATAGAATCTCATGTTCAGCAGACTTACCTCAAGAAGTTCACGGGTTAATTTGAATGGTGCACTCTCAAAATTTACACTACCAGGTGAATTGGAGAGCATGAAGCCAAAATCGATATGTATTATGTGACCTTCTTCATCCAGTAGCAGATTTCCATTATGCCTATCCTTCACCTACACTTGGATAAATTGGCAAATTAAAAATAAAAAAGGAGTATATAACATGATAAGCTCATCAAATTTATAACCACCAAGAATCAAACACTGTTATAATAAGCTTATGGTACAGAACAAAACCATCAACACTCTTAAAAGTTTATATCCCATGATGCTCACTTAATTTCTGCGTTGAATTGATAAACAGAACGAGAGAAAACCATACATACCTGCAGAAGATAGCACAAAAGGGAATACCCAGCCATACTTTCAACAAAATTTCTCTGCAATAAAATTAGCTTAATGTGAGCAATAGAAACATTAAACAAAAGAAAATATGCACCTTCTATAGAAAAAATAACATCACAATTTGACTGATTAAAACATAAAGGAAACAAAATATGAACAAAAATAGCAAACTACAAACACGTTCTAGTGCATTCAATAAACACCAAAAACAAAAAGAGCAAAACCTAGTATTTCATGAACTTTAGCTAATAAAATATTGGACATTCACATGCAAGATAAAAAAGCATGTTAACAGAAAACTCTGGGTAATTTCAATTAAATCAGCAAACCACAGAAACGTTCATCTTTCCAAAAAACAAATGTACACATTACAGCATTTTGAAGATGAGAAATTGATTACCATCCATCAGAACACTGCCACTAAAGTATCTTGCTCCTACATCCCATTATCACATAAGGCTTGGACTTGACCAGTGCAGTTAGTCAAGAAGACTCTCATAATCACAAATTTTATTACTAAAGAAAGATACCAACAAGAGTGATCCACCAACTTACCAAAACCCATCGCATCAAGCAATCAACATATACAAGGTAACTATCATAAGATAGCAAGATTTGACAGTAACCACAAAAAACTGGTTACATAGGATGGTTGGTTCAAAAAGAAAGTAACCTTAAAGTAACTCAAAAACAATAAACTTTAAAATAGTATAAAATGTAAATCACACTGCAGCTTAAAAAAGAGTAGGAAAATTTTACATCACAAACCAAAATTGTTGTCCAACTCAAAATTGTATAGAAGTGGAAAGGAATGTTCCCGTGTTTCTCTTATTTAACAGCAATCTTTGCAATTACTAGAACATCACCATCGTAGTATCTGCAGTTATACAGAAAAAATATTTTTTCCAGGGTAAAAAGAGAGAGAAGCAAACTCTGACTCCTCCTAATGGTCCAATAAAACTCCTAAAAGCTTAAATATAAAGCTAAAATATTTTGTAAAATACGACAATTACTTGAAGAGTAAGAATGAACTTGCCTAACAAACAAATAACAGGAGAGACCTGCCTCTTTGCTACTAGATTACCTGTGCCAATTTAAAACTAGGAGAATTTTCCAGATATTTAGCAGCAAAGAATTCACGTAAGCTTGATACATTGGGATATCTACTTTTGATAGAATGAAGAGAAGCCTGCAGAAAACAGCAAAGCTATAACCATTTAAACAGCCTAAGTTTCAACCATAGATACAATACAGTCGGTTGAACAGAAAAAGTGATGTTACCGTATCTGGAATTGTTTCAATAAGAGCTGTATAAGAAGATGTAACCAAAACTTCATAAGGGCGCAACCATAGAGGAAGACCTGCTTCTTGGAAGATATCTAGCATTTAAAACCATAAACACACTTCAACCATGATAATGGAACAATAAACAGGGGCCAGTGGGGGCCCTGGCCCCACCAATATTTTCAAAAAGTTAAAAATTTTAATTTGGTCCCTTCAAAAAATTTAGAAATTCTTATTATGTTTCAAAAACTTTGAATATTTTTAATCAAGTCCCCTCCTAAAATTTTTAAAAACTCTAATTAAGTCTCAATTAAAAAAAAAACTTACTTAAACCCCTTTTTTTTAAATTATAAAATAAACTATTCTAAATTTTTGAAAATTTTAATTTAGACCTGAATTTAAAAAAAAATTAAGTAGGCACCACTAAACTATGTTGTCAAGATCCGCCACTGACAATAAATCAGTTATGAGTTCACTAATGTTTGACATCATGATTGAAATACATATACATTATGCACCCATGAATGTAATTTTTACAGTTTATTCAACATAATGCATTCTTGATCATCTTTGTGCATGCAAAATCATGTCACCCTTTCTAGAGGGGAAATATGATATTCACTGCCTTGACATTTTCTCAATTCATTTCTAATAACATACGATGTAGGAAGAAAACGTGATTCCAAAAGTTGATGCTTATACAAAGACTAGGTTGGATACAAAGCAAAAGAGCAAAGAATATTGGGAGAAAAGAAGCACAAAATGTAATAAAGGGACATACCATAAAAATGAGAGAGAAGCTGCACAGAAAGATGCTCTTGCCTACAATCATCCCCACTCTTTACAATAACCTACATGATACAAATAACAAAGGGGGCGTATTTACTTAAACCAAACTAAATAGCACATGATAGGAACCTAGGCGTTTTCAAATTTCCAGGGCCAGAGGGAGAGAGAATCTGAGTGACGTTTAAACAGCCTTCACTACCGCCATCCGTCGCTAGCCTTCCACCGTCCGTCGTTTGTCGTCCTCCGACCACCGCCGCACTCCGACCTCCTTTTGACGCCGTTTTTCTCAAGGATCTTCGTCTACCCACTGCGTTTCCATATTCCTGGTTCTTTTTGATAGATTCCATTTCAATCAGAGCAAATCTACTCGTCTTTCTCCGCCGATTTTTTCCACCAACTTTTTTCCGTGTTTCAATTCATCCGTTCCACTGTGCTCGCCGGAAGCTCGTGACAAAAACCCAAGTTCTCTACTGTGAATACCCACTGCCGTTCACCGGAAATCTTACTGCGAAAATTTCCGTCACTGTTCAGGAGTTCTTATATTTCCAGAACGTTGCTGCTGGCTCTAGGTCTTCACGTACGGAGGCATAAACTTCCCTAGCAAAATACTTCTCTGGTTTTTTTCGTAAAAATTAAAACAGCTCGGAAGCCTCTGCATTTAAAAATGACGTCCAAGAATCGCGATGAAGTAACAGAGAAACGGGATGAAACCTCAGCTTGCCAGACTAAGAATCGTCGTCAGTCCGAGATAGAGGAACATGAGATCGTAAAACCTTTGAAAAAACCAGATTTTATGGAGAAACGGGTGGATTTTATATTGTCAAAGGTGTCTGAAGGGGAGAAACAAAATCATAGAGATGGGCAGCAGACAAGGACTGTGCAGAAATCAGAGGAGGCGAGGAAGAAGCTGAGTAGTACAGTGGCAGCGGATGAATATGAGAGGATGGTGCTGGTGACAAAAAAGAATAGGGATGATTCGTTGGTTGAAGCAAGGAGTGTGGAAGGGGCCATTGCGCAGATTCCTGAGGCGGAAATCCTACCACAGAATTCCCACATTTTTAATTACTGGTGGAAGAAAGATTATCCAATAATCAACAATGGGTATAGAACTAGTTGCTTTACGTTATACATTGATAATTTACCAGAGAAGATTCATTGGAAGCGGTTTTGATCGTTATTTTGCCCTTACGTTCAGGTTATTGACGCCTTCATTCCAACTAAAAGAAATTCAAAGGGGGTACGTTTCGGTTTCATTCGCTTTGCTACAATTGGAGAAGCCCGTAGAGCGATCTCAAAGATGAATGGCGCTCACATTGATGGTAGTAAAATTGGAGTCTTTTTTTCTAAATACAACCAAAGACATTCTTTTTGGAGAAAGTCTTCGCCAGTTGTCCACCAAAAGCCCGAGACGGAAAATGTTACAAGAAATAATCTCTATACAGTAAACGGCGTTGTTGATGAAGCTAAACTTCAAGTTTTGGATAACTGCCTAATGGGGTGGTGCAAGAACTATACCAAAATCGGCGATCTTGCTAGCCAAATGCAAGACAAAGGACTCAAACGGTTTCTCGTTAATGAGAGCTGCTGGGAATGTAGTTCTCATGATATTCGAGGACTCTGCTACGTTGAAAAGGGTTAAGAATGAACAATCATAGACTCTTGCAGGGTGGTTTTCTAGAGTTGAAGCTTGGTCGGAGAGTCTAGTGGTAGAATGCCGTCGAGTATGGGTAGTTTGCGAAGGGATTCCTTTTCACGCGTGGAATTGGGGTACTTTCAAGAACATTGTGGCTAAGTGGGGCAAATTAGTATCAATTGATGAAAGCTCTCAGTTTCCTTCATCTTTTGATCGTGCAAAACTTCAAATCCTCACAAATACTAAATTGAGGATTGATGAGTCCTTGAGTTTGAAGGTCGGTTCTAATTTTTTTGAAATCATGGTGCATGAAGTTGAGCCTTCTTTCAAACCAAACTCTTGGATCCCTGAGGAAGTCGATGATTCTCCATACCTGATTTGTTCTCTTGGGACAACGTCGAAGAATTCTCTGTCAGGATCGTCAGTGTCATCCCCAGGTTTAAATTGCCCCGTCGAAGATGTTGCAATTAAAGGTCCCCACGTAGAAAAGGTTTCACTCATAAAGAGTGTCAAAAGCGATGAGAATCCGAGTAACAAATTGGGGTTGCACACACTGGAGGCTGTGGATCAATCAAAATTAAATATCGTGGATCATCTAGCTAATAAATCAGTTGATCATTCTGATGGTGTTAGCCTTAGGGCCTCGGAAGATGTTCTTATGATGGGTCTCATTACTTCTCATGGTTCATCTAGTGACACATTCCAATTAAAGGAAGATACCCCAGTGGTGCCCCCTATCCTTGGGAAATTAAGAACTAATCGTGTGGCGAAGAAATGTAAGACAAAGAAAAGAGTTCTGAATTAAGTGGCAAGGATATATTGATTGAATGGAAGGAAGTGCGATTTTGGTTCATTGAGGATAACTTATCGAGCTGACTTTTTTGGTGATTTTGATACATGTTGGTATTTTGTGGAGTTCCCTTCATAGGCGGATGTTTTTGGTTTAATGGTTTTAGGTGTTGTTTTAATGTATGTTATGTCATTAACTGTTGGGTTGTTTTCCTATTGATGTAGGCTTATCTTAGGTTTAGGGTGATTGCCTCTTGATTTTTGTGGTCGAGAAGGCGAGAGTTTTAGGTGATTATGTTTTTTGTAATGGCGTCTATCCTCGTTTGAGGGTATTTCGTGTTTTCATATGTAATGGGTATTTTATTCAATGAAATATGAGGTACTCTTTTCTTCCAATGTTCGTTAACATACTTCTTAGTATGTGGACGAATACGAAGGGAGTTTTTAATGAGACCTCCAACTTCTATAAAAAAAATAGCACATGATAGGAAGAAAAAGAGTACAGAATTAAATAGCATTCACCAAAAAAATCAGCCTTACACCAAAATGATAATATCAAATACCTTAATCAACTAATGCCAATTACATAGAAAAGGACAAAAAAGGTTCATGTCAAAGCTTTAAATGCCAAATACTAAAACTTTTGTAGGACCAATAAATTATTTCTTGCAATCGAACAAGCATCTCTACCAGCTGCATCAATGGGACTAATAAACAATAAAGGTTGATATTATCATTTTCAAGGGCTAGCTGGTGACATGATGCCATTTAAAGGCAGCAGTGAAATGAAAACAAATGGAACTAAGGTCACTTTGTTAAGTAAAATGGCTTCCAGAAATTGTCTACAATGTTCTCTTATTTTTTTTCAACTTTCTCACAACAAAGCCAACTTGCTCTTTACCTTCAACACCTGCTTAAAGCCAACCCATTACCATACAATCAAATACCGCAGCCGGAACCTTTGCCTCTCCTTCAATCTCCCTCTTCACTTAAGAAATCTCCACTTTTCCACTTTCTCATTGGCATTCCCTTTCACAGACAGCTGCTCTCTGTCTCTCCCCCACACTTTTCTTAGAGTGATAACTCCTCCCTTGCTTCACTTAAACATGAACGGATTCTTTCTCCTTTTCATCACCACTCCAAATTGTCCCTTCTTTCGTTTACAAATTGAGACTTTTCTCCTGTTCTTTTCTCCTTTCTCTTCTCTCTATCATTATCAACCTCAACATATTAAAATTGTGTCCACAAACTTAACAGACCCAAACCCATGTACTACATCTCAAGTTCCAAACACATCATCTCTGTCAGTTTTTTTTTGGGGTGGTGTTGAGGATCCAAAAAAGAAAAGTTTTAGTTATTTAATTGAGATTTGTAGGTGTAGGGGAAATTTTGCTGGTTAGAGGTTCACAGCTAGTCATTGTGATAGTTATGGTAGATGGTGGATAGATGATTCTCTACTAAAGACAAACAATAGAAAAGATCTGTTAGTGATCATACTAAACAGAAATCCATTTCTTTATACAAATAAAACCATTGTGCAACTAATTAGGCACATACAACCATTTTGCCTTTTATGGATTGAGCCAGCTGAGTTATTCGGTCTCTGTTTTAGCTGTTATGTTTTTGTTCTGGTCGTTGGGCTATGTTAGGAAAAATAAACCGAGTACAAGTAATTTCCCTATAACCAGATTAGTGAGAATGTGAAATAAAAGCGGAAAAATAATACCCAAAAATTGATAACAGAGTTCAGCCAATTGTGCTTACGTCTCCGGGCTGCTGCAGATCTTTTACTAAGAGAGAAAATTTACAGGTGTTTACAAAACACTCACTACTCACAAGAAAGCTCTCTAGTATAGGAAGAAAGAAATGTTTTGGGATGATTTTGAAGCTAAATGGGTAAGGGTATTTATAGTAGAAACTTAGGGACTAATCTTTGAAAATACCCTAAAGTGCAATGACTAAAGTGAATTTACCCATTCCTATTTTCAACAAACATCTACCAAAATTTTACCAAACTTTGAAAAACATTTTTCAAAGAAACATTTACCAAACTTTGAAAAAACATTTTCCAAAGTTGGTTGCCAAACTTTGAAACTTTTAACAATCTCCCACTTGAAGACTGATTTTAATATGTCTTCACACCTCGATCAATGCAGCAGCATGTCTGGTCTTGTTATTCTAGCATGCCAACTGAAGCTGAACATAACTTCAGTTTGTCCGTAGTCACCGTCTTTGTCAACGTGTCTGCCGGATTTTGAGCTCCACTAATCTTTTCAAGTTTCAAAATCCCATCTTCCAGAAGAGACCGGATAAAATGATATCTCAATTGTATGTGCTTTGTCCTGGAATGAAAAGACGGATTCTTTGCTAGATGGATAGCACTTTGACTGTCGCAATACAATATATTGTTTTCTTGTTTCTTGCCTAACTCTTCCAAGAAACTTTGGAGCCAAACCATCTCCTTGCTGGCTTCCGTAACAGCGACATATTCTGCTTCAGTTGTGGAGAGAGCAACTATCTTCTGTAGTTGAGAAACCTAACTCACTGCAGTTCCTCCTAGAGTATAGACATACCCTGTAGTGCTCATTCTGATGTCGACATTTCCGGCTAAGTCAGCATCTACATAGCCTGTCAGTATCATATCTCCACCTTTGAAACAAAGTGCTTTGTTTGTGGTACCCCGAAGATATCTGAGGATCCATTTGACTGCTTCCCAGTGTACCTTGCCCGGATTATTCATGTACCTGCTAACAGCTCCCACTGCATGAGCAATATCTGGTCTGGTACAAACCATGGCATACATCAGACTTCCAATTGCTGAGGCATACGGCACCTTCACCATGTGTGCACGTTCTTCCTCCGTCTTTGGTGATTGGTCTTTGGAGAGTCTGAAATGAACACCTAAAGGTGTACTTACTGGTTTAGCATCTTGCATGTTGAATTTGGAGAGTACTTTGTTGATGTACTCAACCTGTGATAACATCAAAGTCCCCGACTTTGTGTCTCTCTTGATCCTCATCCCAAGAATCTGCTTTGCAGCGCCCAGATCTTTCATAGCAAACTGTTTCGACAATTTTTGCTTCAAGTTTATGATCTCTTGCATGTTTGAGCCTGCAGCGAGCATGTCATCAACGTACAATAATAAAATAATGAAACTATTGTCGAACCTCTTGATGTAGCAACAATGATCTGCTTGGCATCTGGTAAAACCACTGTTACTCATGAAACTATCGAACTTCTTGTACCACTGTCTAGGAGCTTGTTTTAAACCATACAAGCTCTTCTTCAACCTGCATACCAGGTTTTTCTTGTCTGCCTCTATGAAGCCTTCTGGCTGCCTCATATAGATCTCTTCCTCCAAATCACCATGAAGGAAAGCTGTCTTTACATCTAACTGCTCAAGATGTAAATTCTCCGCAGCTACAATTTTCAACACCAGTCTGATTGTAGACAGTTTTACGACTGGAGAGAAAATTTCATTATAGTCAATACCTTCTTTTTGCTGAAAACCTTTGACAACCAATCTTGCTTTGTAGCGTTTTCTCCCATCATGTTCTTCTTTGATCCTGTAAATCCACTTGTTATGGAGCGCTTTCTTGCCTGGTGGTAATTCAGCTAATTCCCACGTCTGATTTGACATAAGCGAGTCCATCTCATCTTTCATGGAAGACTCCCACTTGACTGAATCCTCCACCTGCATTGCTTCATCATAGCACTCTGGTTCACCATTGTCAGTCAGTAACAAATAG